AGCTTCAAGTTAAGCAACAGGATTCTGCCAAACTTGCCTGCCACAGTCCCATCTCCCTGTTTTGGTGGCACCTCCCCACCATGGCTTGTGAGCACAGAGCTATAAAAATGCCAGTTGGGCCCCGAGGCTGCTGGCTCAGCTCCTGAGGAATCCCCTGTTCCTTCCCTCAGGCTGGATGAGACTTGGAGCAACCTGGTTTAATGTGTTCCTGCCCATGGCAGGGGTTTGAAACAAGATGGGCTTTAAGGTCCTAACCCAAACTGTTCTGTGGTTCTATGATTCTATGACTCCACTGCCTGCTCCCAGCTGTCCCAGTAAGACCCTCAGATCCTGCTGCCTGCCCAAGGGAGGACAGAGAGGCAGATGAGCCAGGATAAAGCTCTCCAGATTAAAGCATGTCCTGTATCAAAAAGCCTGGGACATTGCCTGGGATGTGGGGTCTTGCAGGATGGCATAAGTCCCAGGGAATGGGAGCAGTTAAGGGGACAGGACAGCACCAAACCTTGAGGAATGCCACTTGTTACTGGTTTTCACAGTGACAAGTGAGCTGAGATGTCACATGTGTTAGAAGAAAGGTGGAGAGAAGGCTGCAAGCCTTCACAAGGAAGGGGGTGAGGACTTTGGATGAAGCTTTGAGAGAAGGAAGTTTTAAATACAGGGTGGATCAGAATCACAGAGGCATTAAAATTGGAAAAGACCTTTAAGATCAGGTCCAACCATCAACCCAGCACCACCACCATCATCACTAAATCTTGTCCTCAAGGGCCACAGCCACATGTTTTTTGAGTGCTTCCAGGGATGGTGACTCCACCACTGCCCTGGGCAGCCTGTGTCAATGCTTTACAACCATTTCTGTGAAGAATGTAAACCTCCCCTGGAGCAACTTGAGGCCATTTCCTCTCATCTTGTCCCTTGTTATCCGGGAGAAGACACCGACTCCACCTGGCTCCAACCTCCTGTCAGGGAGTTGCAGAGAGCTAGAAGGTCCCCCCTGAGCTTCCTTTTCTCCAGGCTGAGCCCCTCCAGCTCCCTCGGCTGTTTCTTATCAGACTTGTGCTCTAGACCACTCCCCAGCTCAGTTCCCTTCCCTGGACACACTCCAGACACTCAGTGTCTTCGTTGTCATGAGGGGCTCAGAACTGAACCCAGGATTGGAGGTGCCTCACCAGTGCCCAGCACAGGGGAGTCTCACTGTGCAACTCTCACATGTGGCCCAGAAAGCTTCACCCTGTACTTCCTGGGCACCTCCCTGTCCCTTGCCCACTCCCTTAATCAGCATCTTCAGCATTCTCAGCATCCCATCTTCCAACCACAGGCAGGAGAATAGAGCCATTAGCAGGAT